CCCCCCCCCCCCTACCCCCCCTTTTCACTCCATACAAAATAGACTCCCCCTTCCCATCCCGCGTTCCGTCAGCCGTCCCCGTCGTCAACACACATCGCATCACTCCACTATTACGGACAGGGCAGGGCGCGCGACGCTTTCCTATACTTTTCCGTGCGTGTTGAATAATGCATCGAGTGACGACTACGACGACGACGTCAACGACGACGGCGCTTCGTTGGACGTACCGAGTCCCAACGACGACGATCGCGCGACGGCGGCGTCGCGACGTACAGTAATCTCGCGAGTAATGTCCGCGAAATTGTCGAGCAGCTACGAGAGCAGAAGAACACGGTGCACCTCGGGTTCTTTGTCCTCCGCCGCTGTCCGCCGCGCAACGATAATGCGAACGACGCGCTTCACGCCCGTCGTCTTGTGCACCCGCGTCTCGTCACGCGAATAAAATCTCTCCTCGCTCTCTCCTGCAGGTGAGTGCGTGAGAACGACAAGTTTCGTCTTCTTTGTTTTATTCCGAGCATTCTCTAACCGTCGTCGATCGCTCGACGTCCGTTTGACCCGCGCATTTGGCAGGGATCCTTTGTCTCCTTTGTCCTTGCTTATCGATATCTTGCGCGAGATACCAAACTCTTTCCATTACACTGTTAGTTTTTTTTAAACTCTGTAGGATTATTTGTTTGTATTTTCAAGTTGGTTTTATACAACTTATCTATTGATAATTGAAAGGTTTTATGGAAATATCTCAATATATTTTTTATAATTGGCTAGCAGAGATAATTAATCAGTTAGTGATTCTTTCATATAATTGATTGCTATACTAATATCCATCGAACAACTAAAAGCAAGAAAATATTTAAAAAACACTAAGCACTAATTGATTAGTTTCCTCTGTTGAATGCAGGAATTGTCTTTCAAGCACAAGTTTCGGATTTTTTAAAAAGTGGAATCGCGTCAGCGAAAAGTTTATTGCAGAGATTTATATATAAATATTACCTTTCACTGTCCTTTTGTATGCATTAACAACTTGTATATTTTATATGGTAAAATATACAAGCTTTTTAATACGCCTAAATGTCACATTTATTCTGTTCAAGATTTAACCATCTGTATAGATAAATAAAACTCTAACTTGGCAATAAAAAATGTCTGCGGAATCACCAAGGCGAGGTGTGCATAAAGGAGCTCAAATCGTTTCACCTCAGCCCATAGTAGATCGATCGATCATTGATAGTGTTGCTGGGATCATAAATGATATAGTACCACAGGTATGAGTTAATTAAAATGATCTCAATATTATGATCCTCCCAAGTGTACTATGTTTGTAATTACTCACAGGGGTATGCAGGAGTGTCCAATTCTGATAATAAAGAAACTATATCTTGGGCACGGTTTGAATACGCTGATATAAATGATCCTACTTTATATCCTGATTACAATGAAGGCTCTAGTACACCACCGTTGCTATTGGTACTAGGATACGCAGTTGGAGTTCAGGTAAATATTATATTAAAAGCAAAATATAGTTTTTTATTTATTGATGTTTAGCATATCCGATTCGAGTTTTTATTCAATTGTTACCGATTTTTATAAACGCAGGTATGGCTGATAGTAGCAACGGGAGAGGCAACGGAGATCCTATCATGGCGACAAGGCGTGGTTCGTATTCTTCGAATTCTACCAAACCCAAAGACTGACGACGATCACGTCGATGAATTTGAAGCGAAACGGCCGATGGTAGCGGTCTGCTCTGAGCCGGATTCAACTCTTCCGGGACCAAAATTTTGCGACGTTAATTTCATCTCCTTGAAAACCGGCGAGTCAATACACAGCGTAGGATTCAAGCATTCTGTCTGCGATGTGTTAGCGAACAGGCGATCCGTGGTTATAACGTTATTAGAAAAAATTGCGGTCTTCGATGCTAGAACATTGCAAAATATCATAACAATCACGACTTGCTATGCCAGTCCTGGCCCAAATCCAAATCCCATCGCTTTAGGAACGCGATGGCTCGCTTATAGGTAGAGAATTTGACAAACGTTTTATCTTGCGTTTTCTAATGTTTTTAATAATTTACGTAGGTAATACGTTTGATTATACGTTTGATTAAATAATCATTCTTTATTTGTAGCGAGAAAAAATTAATACCCTCAAGAAGAAGCAGCGGTGGTTGTGAAGGGGAAGGCGTCCAGAGTTATACAGCGACTGTTTTATACGCGGCCAAGTCGTTAGGGAAAGGTCTTCGCGGACTAGGAGAAACGGTAGCGTCGAGTCTCACGGGGAATTCAGTATCGCCGATAGCTATCAATAACGCGGGCAATGACGTAACACAACCAGGCGTCGTTACAATATTGGATCTTCAGATCGCGAAAGACGAGAAAGAGTTGGATGACACCAATGCAGATGCTGTAATCGCTCATTTTACTGCTCACAGCGACGCGATCGTTGCCATGACTTTCGACTTAACCGGCGCGTTATTGATGACGTCAGACAAGAGAGGACACGACTTCCACATATTCAGAATTCAGCCGCATCCCGGTGGATCAACACTGGCGGCGGTGCATCATTTGTATATTTTACATCGTGGCGATACTACTGCTAAAGTACAGGTACAATCCTAACACCAATTTTAGTGTTTACACATCTTAATTACATACTTTAGCTTTAAATTATGTTATTATTGATTAATCGAAAACTTTAATAAATTATCCATCAAGATTTAAGATACACAATGTACATATAGAAAGATGTATGTTTGCGTGCGTACATACGTACGTGTGTGCGCGTCACTCTCATTTGCCTATTTTAATTTATTTTATTATATGTATATTAGTATTAAAGTAAAAAAACGATTAGGCTAAAGATTGAATATATAAAAAAATGTGTCACATAAATATGTTCGAAATATGAAAAGTAACTATAAAATTCATTACTATTACCAAAAAATGTAACTTAGTTACAGTTATCAAAAGAAAAAAAAGTAACGCTGTTACCAGCGTTACCGTTACGATAAAGAGCAAGTTGTAATGGTAACATTTACGAGTTACTTACTTTCACTTTATAATATTTACAATGTATTTACTGTATCAGGATATGGTATTTTCGAGCGATACACGCTGGGCTGCTATTTCAACCGTGAGAGGTACAACGCACGTTTTTCCTGTTGCACCTTACGGAGGTCCTGTTGGCGTCAGGACACATTCCACACCTAATGTCGTCAATAGACTATCAAGATTCCACAAAAGTGCAGGCTTAACGGACGACGGTACTCGATCCCACTCTCCTGTATCACATACGGAATTACCTTTGTCTATATATCCATACTCCAATCCTCGACTTCCTCCATATCCTCATCCAACGATATTGCATCCTTTGTCACAAATTCGACAACCATCTTCTCTGAATCAAATCAACAGCTCCACACAGCCAAGGTAATTATTGCGTCATGTAGAAAACTAGTTGAACTAACAATAAAGGTGTAATGAAAAAATATTGTAAATTTTATTGCAGACCACAACAGAGACAACGGTTACATTCTGACGATAGTGGGACTTTACCGTTGAAGATCTGCGCGTGTTTTGCTCCACCGAGAGCTTGGATGTTTGCACAAAGGGAATCCAGTAGCAAGGTTGTCAAAAGAGCAGTCGATTCTCTTTTCATCATGGCATGTCACGGAAACATGATACAATACGATTTGGATCCTAAACCAGCTGCTGGTATATTATAGAGAGAGAGAGAGAATGAGAGAGAATGCACTTTATTATATATTTTATTAAAGAGAGAAAATAGACGATTTATATTATCCAAAATTCTTTTTTGGATAATATAAAGCGTATCATCTAATGTTTACTTTTACTTATTTTAGGTGTGCCAAAGGAAAAAGTTTGTGACGACACCATGATTGAATTGGACGTTGAAGCAAAGGGTCAATGGCCACTTTGTAGATCCCCCAATTCGTCAGATCTCGTTCCACCGTTATCTCTGTCGAATCCATTACTTAACATTTCGTTCGCACCAAAGAACAATCAAGAATTTGAGACAATCGAAGATCGTTGGTTGAGTCAAGTGGAGATCGTAACTCATGCTGGACCACACAGACGATTGTGGATGGGGCCACAATTTGTTTTTAAGACTTACAATGCACCTAGCGGGTTGGTTTCTCAATTTTTCTCAATTACAATCATGATTTTACTGATTAAAAACGAAAATTAATTATTTCTAGTGTTGCTGTCAATCTGGTCGAAGCGGAGGCAGTCGAGATTGGAATTACTGGCTCGCGTCCAGCAAGATCGAAGCCCGTTAATATGCCTCATGCAACATCTAGACCGTTAATGCCAGTTGTTATCGATGGATCAGGAAGTGAGTTTACAATAATTACACTAATTAAAAAAACATTTTTTTTTTATTATTTTGAACTAGGCAAGGTATTTCTTATAGATTTTTGAATGTTGAAAACAATGTCGCAATATAGTTTTACTAGCACATTAGATTTAAAAAATAATTGATGAACATTGAGGTTTAATATGCAAAAACGGCTTTTTCTGCGTTAATGTTTTTGTAAAAAGGATTAATACCTAATCTGGTTCTCGAAATAATTTTTTACTGTAAACTAATGTTATCTGTAAGCTGCTCTCGCTTGTTGCATTACATGTTTCGATTTTAAGAAAAAAGTGTGGAGTTTGTACCAAAATAAAATAAATAGATTATATTAAACTAGGAATATGTCCTTAGAATGTGAATTCAACATACATGTGAATACACACAAAGAATAAACGCCTTTAACAGTCAAGCTGGATTTTAACTGCTTAAATAATTCAATGTGAATTTATATATTACATATGTAGTTTTTTCATTTAAATTGCGCGCTGAATTAATTTTTCAGTTATGAAACGTAAATCTGATTGAACTGTAGTAATAATATCACATGTTAAATTGATTAACAATTTAATAATTTGATGCTCGTAAGATCTTAATGGTGTTAAATAACATAATACAATAATATATAAATAGTTTTAGTAAATTAATTGTATTTATAAGATTTATCTTACTTTCAGGCAGTTATGAGCAATCGCCAAGATTCATGGAGGCTTACGGTGATCCTCTGGACAACGAGAATGTGGCCATTGGTAGTTGCGAGAGTCAACTGAGGGAGGATCTTGCGGAAGCTATGCTCGAAATATCAATTGCATCTCATCGTGCTCCAGGTAAGTGCGTAATTATGCACCAAAGTTTTATATTTTAGTTGAAGGCACCTATGAATGCAGGGCCACTTAGTTGCAATATCATCAAAGCGACTAAATCGACATATTCTGTATAATTTGTGCAATTTGTTTACATTTATTTGATACATTTCATATGTTTGCCCAACAGTTTTGTACAATACTACAATTATTGTACAATTATCTCTTTAATAAAAAGTAAAGAATTATCTTTTATGTTATTTTTTGTTATTGTAGAAGAATAATGTGGGAAAGATATTAGTGGTATTTTATTTTATTTTTTTTATCGCGTTACCTACTTTAAATTATTTTATTCTTGTTTTTGGCAAACAACAAGAATGTAATGATTCTCTGTTATATTAGTCTGGTATTACATTTATCGTACGATAAAAAACAGATAAGTGTAATATTAGCCTTACAATGTTTTCTTGCTGGAAAACGTTTCATGTAATTGTTGTACTCGTTCTTTGGACGATTGTAAAATATTTTCATCAAACAAATACAATTTTTTACATTGTGAGTATACATATACAATTTCCTGAATCATGCATATTATTGTATATACACAATATTTATATGTACATATATAAATCTTGAAAAAGAATGTCTGATAATTATTGACACAGCGCTTATAAATAGACAGAGCGGATCTTAACCGAGCCAAAAAATTCTATTATTTTGCTATTTTCGCAATAATTTAGGGAGTGTTGGCGTGACGGCCAAACTCCGACGGAATTACTATTTTGCTGATTAAATGCTGCTTACACGCATATAATTTCTTGACCTCCTTTTATTACCCGGAGGCAGGAGCCAAAAACAAAAGAAATTGGCTAATTTCATCGATTAAGACTTAGGGTTACTTAAGACTTGCGATTCATTGTAGAGTCCTAGGCCGGTATTCATAGTCTTTTCTTATATTCAAGACCGTCTTAAGTTCAGTCTTGAGGAGTTACGAACCAATCAGAGGGCCGCTTTAGCATCTTAAGAAATTACTTAAGACAGTCTTGAAATAAGAACCGACTATGAATACCGGCCCTAGTTAGTTTTAACCCAAATAGGTGACTATGATTTTTTGCATCTATATATATAGTTAGTTATATAGCGAGTCGTTTAGCTCAACTAAGAAATAAAATCGAATTTGGCCAGTCTTAAGAAAATCAATAGTCTTAGTCGTACAAGTTGACCAATTTCACCGATTTATCGATAAGACTTAGAACTACTAACTATAGATTTATTGTAGAATTAACATTAAGGGGATTTTAAAGACAATTAGTTGCAGTGTAAGTAGGACTTACAGACGATTACGTGTCATTGACACATCAACATACGTACTACTACATCAATATTATTAATTTTTTTATAATCGTACTTAATACTTCTATATGCAAACTTATTAGAGGAATCATATTGTGCAAAAAAAATCATACAATTCCATTTAAAAAAGTGAAGGTGATCTTGAAATCTCAAACAATATGACCTTGAGAAAAATTTTTTGCTCATTATAATATGTGTCCCTTCGAATCGAACAACTTTTCCCTGTGGTATCTTCTCATCAAGAACAACGGAGATGTTTTAAATAATCAAGATACAGAATACATTCTGTACATACATAGATATTTTCTTAAATGAGATCGTTTTTATTTGAAAAATATTCTATAACATTATTATTAAAAAAATAATAGAAGGAAATGTTCCAAATTATAAAAGAGATATAAAAAAAAACTAATGTTACCAGTGAAAAAATTATGTTTAAAACGAGTATCTAAATAATCAAATCTGTTTTCATTTATTACTTTACATTTATTATTTTTACACTCGAAAAAGGGACAATTTGTAATCATGGCTTTAATTTGGGACAAAATTTAGAATATGTTCTAAAGTAAGATGAGGACTAGCTATCCCTCTTGATTTTAGACGGTTAGTTACTAATAAGACATACCCTTTAACCAAACATACTAAATATGTTTATACTTTATAGACATACTTATTTCCCGAATATCGAGATTTAAACTTAAGAAGTTTACAGGGTATATAATTCATGAATTTGGCATGATATTTGTGCGCATATTTCGATTTACCGCTTTTTATTAGTATATTGAAAAACAAATAAACACAAAATTTTCGAAAAAGAAGAAATGATTGTGCTTGGCAGCGTTTTATGACGACATTATCACGATATATTTCCGAACCTGAAAGCGTATTCCAAATAGAAAAAAAAAACGATTTTCGTATTATTCGTAACCAGAACTTTTCTATTCTCTGTGATATGTTTAATGATGAGATCATTAGTATTATAAGTTTGCGTAACACAGAACTGGCCAGAGGCAGGTATCTCCATTTTGTTCTCGTAACTGTATTATATGTTCGAGCACTAACAGTAAGATATTTGTTTGACGTCTGCTCTTTGTATTTTTGGAGAAAAGAAAACATTCAACAAGCGGTGTTATGTACCGTCTTTGTACTAACCATGTAGATCCATCATATTTTGCTCGAGTTTCTAGCTTTATGTATAGCTTAGAATGGAACTTTCTTTTACAAACAGATGTATTTCTCTTAAGTTTGTCTTGACTTGACCCACGCGTAATTGACACGCGCGTGGAGTACGCAAATGTTGAACGTAATTAAAAAAAAAAAACGAAAGGATTAGACTATTCCTTTTCGTGAGACGCTCGAGATTTCATTGATCAAGCACCGATTCTTATAACTATGCCAAAACTCACTAGCGTTATATACATTTTCTTTAAATTTTGACGAATTTTGCTGTGATGTTTTGTTTATCCACTAATAAAGCGAAATCGCATTCATACATGATATAATTCTGAGAGAGCATGTGTGCAAGCTATAATTATCACTTCAAAATAGATAGAAAAAAGAGAGAAACTTAAGAGAAAAAGAGCGAGAGCGACACATACACAGAGAGAAAGAGAGAGAGAGAGAGAGAGAGAGAGAGAGAGAGAGAGAGAGAGAGAGAGAGAGAGAGAGAGAGAGAGACGCGTGAGCAGCGACTCGTAATATTGATACCTGCCTACGGCTTTTCTGTTACTAGGGAGGCGTACGGTATTTGAGAGGGTGGGTCAGCCGGTAACTAAAGTCGTCAACCCTCACACCGGCACCGTGATTACCGTGTCGGCCGACGAGGATGGGGACGCTATTAGCTCCATACAGGAGTACGACTCCGCCGCGGAGGAGATGCACGCACCTAGAAGCGTGTGCGCCGAGGAGGGTCCGGCCTCGCTCGGCGCGATCGATCTCCCAGATGAGCCGGACAGCCGGGCGCTGAATCGCAAGCTCACAGAGATCTGCGCGGAGATGCGCTCAGCAAGCGAGCCGGCGATCAACAGCATACCTGATGAGAACATATGCGAGCTGCAGGACCATCGTGCTCTATGCGCGGAGATGGCGGCCACGACGACAACTGCGACATCAATCGACTACGAAAAGGAGGAAGCTTTTTGCGAGGTGCCGACAAGTCTCAGCCTGTGTGCCCAACCAGGTGAGATTCCGAGCAGTCCTATGACACAGGCGAAAGAGACCGCGTTATGGTGCAGCAAGGGAAGATTTACTACCGATAGCCGTATCGAGGATTATCGCAGCGAGGTTCACGAGAGGCATCTCGCCAAGGCCAAATACGTCGTCAACTACGACGATGATAGCGTTACGCTCATGGAGAACAAGACGATGCGAAGCGAGAAGAATATCGAGATATCACAGTCGAACGTAGATGAGAAAGTCAAGAGACCTATCGCGAGAAGAGCCGTCGTTGATTCCGAAAGAATCTCAAATTCCGCTATCAAACGCCCGACACGAGCGGAAAAATACATTATTAAAGAGGACGATGATAGCGTCATCATCAGTGACGCGCGATGCATGGATTCGACGATGGGCATTGGCACGAAGAAAGAGGAAAATGACGTTGAGTTGAAGAAGAGAGTCGAGAGCGCAAGAGATACCAAGGTAGCGAGAAACAAATATCAAGTAATACGTAAGAATGACAAATGGAAGAATCGTGCTTCTTCACAGGAATTCACCGATAAGGATCGAGTTATGCTCAAAAATAGAGAGATTGAACATACGACAGAGGTATCTTCTATTGACTTGCCCGAGCCGATGGAATCGATTACTGACGTAATCGTAAGGAAAGAAAATCCTGTAAAACCTGTGTTGGATGTGGAAAATGTGAGATCGCTGTCCGATCATGACAACGAGTATGATAACGATAATAAGTTGCCATCGTTGGATCCACCGCCGCCGGATGATTTCAGTTCGATTGACTATCACATGATAGAGTCATACAATCTTGGCAAAGACGCCACTTTGACGTTCACTCAATCCGACGACGATATTGAGCATATCCACGAGTCTGAGGTAATGCAGATGCGGATGAAGAACACGGACAACGGCAGGTACAAAGATGCCGGTGTGACCATTAATACGGTCGCGCAATTTTCTTCTCCTGTAGTGCAACGAAAAAGCAGCAAGAGCACGATTTCGGATGATGATCTGGAGTACATACACAACGTCGATTTTGAATCTACGAATTTAGAACGAGGCGATGCCGGTGCGACGACGTCCTTGACAAAGATGAGCAATAACAATTCGCGTAGAAGGTATAGCAGATACACGTTGTCCTCTGATGATGATCTAGAGCACGTTCAACTCTCAGAAGTCCATGAGTTGGAATTTGGTGCATCGAGATTGTCACAGAGAGAATCTCTGCAGACGACCCAGGAAATGACGTCAGTGGAGCAGCAAGGAGCGAAGTCCAAGTCTGGCAAGAAGCGAAAGGATATTATGGTGATTGAGAAGAACAAGGTAGAGACTCCGGAGGTCACTGTGGTATACAATCCATTGAAGGAGACCTGGCCGATGTCCGAGGAAAACGATAAACGCAGTTTCACTGATTTTAAAGATAAGTCGGATGGACTGTATTCAAGCCCTACGAGAAGAGCCAAAAATCGTGGCTCAAAGACGATGAGTTTCTCATCCTCGCTGCTATCTACCAAGCGAGTTTCTCAGACCAATGAGAGCGACATCGTTGAGATTATCGATATCGATGCGATGCAGAAAGCTTCGGATACGATGCCGGAATGCAAGATTCTGCCTGTCATTGCCGGGTCGCGTACTCGGAAATCTCGCAAGAGCAAGAAGTCAGACGGCACGTCACAAGAGAACAGCTCAACGGAGCTCTCTATCTCTGTCCTTTTGCCTTCATTTTGTTCCTCTAATGTGAAGATGGTGGAACTGCAGGAGGCCGTACAGGAAGCTGTGTGGGACGAGCCGTATGTGAAACTCGGCTCTAAAGATCAGGAGTCAAAAACTCTACCTTTGACAGAGATATCCTGGAGTTCCATCGTCAAAAAAAGCATCTCTCCTTCCTCGGATTTGCAAGAAACCCGCAAAGAAACGTATTTCGAACCGTTAATGGAGGCGCAGAGGAAACTGGAGACCGACAAACGTGCGAGGAAGCTGGAAGAAACGGAATTCTGTGACAGAAACAACCCTACGTTCCTCAAATCTGTGGAACACGCAATGTGTGAACATCAGACTACGCGACGACAAATATACAGGACTAAAAAGGAAGAAGAGAAAGAGAAGTTTCTTTTCGATGAGGAGGATGATATCGACATGGCGGCGACGGAGAATGTCCTCGTAGACTTTCACGCACCAATAGACGAAGAACCTCGCGTGGACAAGGATATCGCGCGCGTTACGACTGCTATAGCGCGAACCAAGATCTGTCGGGACAAGGAGGATAGCAAAGCGACGGAAGGCAGTCCTCTTTTCGCTTCGGAAGTACGATCCGTCGTCGACGAGACACGTCGAGGTAACGTGGCAACCGAGAGGAGAGAATCGCAAAGAGAATCTTCTTTGCAGCTTCAGCCGATGCAGTGGCAGCAGGTAGGAGTCGATGACAGCGACAGCACTACTAGGACGTCCGAACAGTACGGTACAACCTTCTCGAAGATGTCCCTAGAATCCGGTTATGGGTTCGCCGAAAAGCGGAACGAAGCGGACCGCGAGATGCCTGCCGAGCATTCAACCGTCGCCAAAAAGGCGAGCAACAGATCTAAAAGGAAAAAACGCAGATGAGTAGAGGATTGCTGCATGGACGTGCCTAGGGCCAGCCTTGCCCTTTACATACTCCTGATGCAAGTGACAGGAGTAGATTAGCGTTCATACATAACGGAATTAAATTATAGTCCGAGCGCTCCGTGCGCAACCTTGAAAAGCTATTTTACATCGGGTAGCGTCAAATGGCGCGTGTATCTCGCTGTAATGCTGATAAGGCTCATCTTTACTTTGTGTAATACACTGTCGATTTCCAGAAATTTCGTTCCTGACACGGAAATTAATATTTCAAACTATTGCAACGATTCGACAGAAGACTCGTAAACCGAAAACGCGTCGCGCCATATGTGAATATATCTCAAAATCGCGTTTTGCGTGACTCTATCCTCATTTCATTTTATTAATTAGTAATTGATATAAAAAATATACGCGCGAGCGGATATTGTGTTCGGGCGATATAACGGGCAAGGTTGTGTTCTAGCCGATATTAGGATATTATTAGACGCTTTGATGTTAATTGGGGCGTGATAGAAAGAACTCCCAGAACAGGATCACGTTTCTCCATCTGAGGTACACTCGTGTAGCAATTTCGATTCAACTGCCTTAGATCATAAAGCGGTGATGAAGCTTGGATTGTACGTGGTGCAAACAAATTGCGTGTATCTATGTTTGCCCGATAACATAATTGTTTAGTGCAATTGACGACGCGTGATGAGCGTTTTTCGCCATTAGGTGTTCATTTGCGGAATTGATCTTCTAACTAACTCTATTCTCGAACGACGATGATCATCCGGTATACAATAGGCTATATTTCTTTGTTGGAGTACAAACATCTTTATTAAATTCATCCAGCTTTCGTTTACTGCCTACACGGATTATATTTCTCGTCGAGCGACGATAGTATACATAAGAGAATTATTATTAAGTTGAAAAGGTTTTCAACCTTAATACTCTATTCTATACACACACGCGCGCACACACACATACAGAGAGAGAGAGAGAGAGAGAGTTGGGAATGACTACAATCAGAAACGATTATAATTATTTTGATTGTTTATTTAGCTGTACATATTGTCTTGGTGCACTTTTATAACGCTTATTTGTTTTCAAAGACATTTTAAAAAGGGGCTATATCATTAATCATTTATACGTAGTTCAGTATTTCCTGATAAATTGTTGACATAATAGTAACGATAGTAATAGAACAGGAAAGAGAGGACAGTAAGAGATCTATTTTCGCAGTAATTCTTTAAGACGATGTGTTCTACATTCTCGTATGTGTTCATTTTTGCGCGAACCACGTCTGTTCAAACATTTATGAAAGTATTACTTTACTTACGTTTAGACACAGCCGGATATTGAAAAGGATGCTCTGTTTGAGTATAAATTGTATTTAGAATTGGAAAATTTAGGCAACGCAATGCGAGCATCACAAGAACGGCGACGTTGATAATGTGTGAAGGATAAAGAGTCAATATTTTTCTTATTCTAGACCCTCAATCTAAATAATTCATATGATTCCGGACACTTCGGCCATTTCAAAACCCATCTTTAGTCTAACTAAATTTCTCTTTCTCTCTCTCCCCCTCCCCCCCCCCCCCCCCTCATTCTTACTCCCTTCTTCCCTTTTTTCCTACTTTTTTCTTTCAATTTTTCTCTTTTTCTAAATTTTATATATTTATTTTTTTATACTCTTATTTCTCTACCCAGAAAAATTACACGCTGTCTATGAGAAAAACTTAACTTTTGTTATTTTGATATTGATTTTGCAAGATTATTATGTTTTTTTTTGTTAATTTTGCTATTAATTTCGGTTTTTTTTTTTTTTTTGCAAAATTATTAGTTTAATTTGTGTAACGTACCTTGGATTAATTATGAAAACGTAAGAAATTATACTTTTATGTAGAGTAATTTGACGCAATCAAACTATTAACACGATTTCTTTTATTGAAACAATTTATTATATTTTTTTTTCGAATTTTAATTCTTTTATAAATATCGCATATATGAATTTTTAAAACGAATTACAAAATGAATTTTACGAATTTTTAAGAGGAAGAATGCATTTCTTCAAAAGAGAGAAAAAAATTAAAACACATGTGCAATAGATGATAGTGGGGCTTCTACAATTTCGTAATAAATTAAAGTTTATAGTAGTATATGTATAGGTACGAATATGTATATAAATTGAGGTGGATTTTGTTCGCGGTGAAAGTTGAAAACTTAGGTGTGGAATAGTACAATTATGTAGATTTTGTTTCGCTTCGTAAAGTAGTGAACTTTTTTATTAATAATTTTTATTAACAAGTATATAACGAGCAACAACTAAACTCTGTTAGAGATTACTCAGAGTCATAATCTTGATAACATATGTGAAGATTAAGGTCATTGAAGCTGAGTCACCTATTGTAATTTACCTCATAAAAATTGCAATTGTCATTATCAAATTGCTATTATAAAAAGTAACGGGAAAGTAACAGAATAGTAACTCTTCCATTCCCTGTGCTAAAAAAAATTAATTTTTTTTTTAACAAACGTCAAATTGTATAGAATCCATATCTGTAAGCGGAAAAAGGTTTTGATAACAATGTTAAAAGTATCCAAAAGATGTAAAAAATTTTATAAAGAAATGAAGAAGAATATTTTATTCTAAAAATTATAACTTTGTGAAAAAAACGAAAAGCAAAACTAAGTATCGTTTCAGAAAGAAGAAATCATAAACTTTTAAGAGGAAAAATACGTTTTGAAAAGTATTAATAAAGTTGCAGTATTTTGAGACATGCTCGTCGAATGGTACGCTCTCATCTCTTCTGAAAATGGTTATTTTTAGTTTTTTTTTAACTTACTCTCTTAAATTATATATTTTTATCGCTATACTTTACACAGTATAAGTTTTATTACTATTTTTTTTTGAAAATTTTAATGTAACTTTCTATCCGAAAAATGACATTTTTACGATTCAGTTGGATAACTGGATAGTCACTGGCTAGTCTGAATCGTACGTATTATAAAAAAGTGGTTGGATATATTTGCTGAAAGAGAAACATTGAAACCAAAATTGCTTTACCATACATTGAAATAAAAAAATTCCATAAATTTGTATATACATTAACTTCTATGTATTTTGTACAGATATCTATGAAAGAAAAAGAATAGGAACCCCGATAACTTAACGTGCGTCAGCACGTTAATACATACCATATTTAGCGAACCATGCAAGCACTATTCTGTTAGTATGCTATTTTCTACTAATAAAGCAGTTGATATTTGCATGGTGCTATCACTATTATTATTATTATTATTATTATATGCTACACTGTTAAAAAAGACATGAAATTTCATGTAAATGTAACGGAAGCAAATTTCAAGCAGATACATTAAAATTGTTAAATCTAACAATAAGTTACTTATAATTTTATGCTCGATCATTGACAACATTGAACGATTTTAATGTACCTGCTTGAAATTTGCTTCCGTTACTTTACATGAAATTTAATGTATATATTTTTAACAGTGTAGTCACGTATGCTAGTGTTAAAGTTGGAAAAAACCTGAATTTTTTTAAAATCTCAATCTATTAGGTATTTTAGGGTTTTTATTGGATTTTATATTGGGTTTTTTGATAACACTATTTCATTTTTTCGTAATTTAGTTTACATTGTGTTTATTATTATTTAATTACATATACAAATAAAATTAATTATAAAAGAATTTTGTAGAAATATAATGATGAATTTTTTTAATTAAAAAAAATTTTTTTAAAAAATGCTAATCCTGCAACATGCAGTCAAAAATTGACATTTGATTACTAGTATTTTACATGCACAATGTTCATACAGTGCGTAAATCACAATATACTGTTAGTATGCTCGTCAGATACGGAGTTAGCTGAACATTATAGTGACAAGACATTTACTCCACACGTGCATTACGTTGGCGCCATGCAAATATTTTGATATCTGAGACTATAATGTGGCATTACTACTTACTATGTCAACTTTTGGATTTATTTCGTCAAACGGTCAATAACAAAAACATTTTTGTTATTTTATGATTAAGTTAATTACTACAAAATTTGGAACAGTATTATAGAAACAGTACATTATAAAAAATAATTATATACAATATTATTTATAGAAGACATTTCTAGTTTGTATTTATGTTCAAAGTTTTATTTTTTGTTTTTGTTAACAAATATAATCCAAAAACAAAAAGTGATATGACAGTATTAATGAATAACGAGCGGTGGCTAAAATCTGTTGAAGATCACTCAGAGTATGATCTTGACAGCATATGTCATGGTTAAGGTCATTGGAGCGAAAACATCGTTATATTTACCGAATATACTTTTTATCGAAGATTCGCGCGGTTTCTACGCGAAAAAAGCATCAAGATTTTACTAAACAATCACAAAAATTATGAACAGCTTGAAGGATGCTTTATTAATTAGGTAAAGCATTATGAATCACGGCTTATTTTCAAAAATAAACATTAATAAAGTTATTCAAAATCAGGTTTCACATTATATATAAAGAGGTATTTTTTTATAGCTGTTGTAAATTAGCCATCGTTGATATGCCAGTGGAATAAGTAGAGCATCCATTTTAGAACTTCTGAATTGTTAATCATGTGTTCAAAATCAAACGCAATAATCTTTTTTTGTTTAATTTAATTATTATTAAATTAATGAAATTAAATTAATGAATTAAATTAATAAAAAATTGTATTTTTTAAGTATTTTTTTACTTCTTTTAGTATAAAAGTTTTATATTTTTTTGCGTGTAGAAATTGAATTTACAATAAAAAGTACCATGTTCTATCGTAAAAAGTAATTTTCAGTCTGAATAGCCTATTCCCGTTCGAAATTGAAAATAAAAAATATCATTGATACAGCGTCCACCACTTATTCATTCATTTTTTCAGATATTTTATAAAAATAACTTCTTTTTTTTTAAATGAGTGAAAATTTTTATTAGAAAACAAAGGACCATGCATAATGTTTTATCTCATTAGTATCTTTT